TCTTATGTAAAATTACCTTTTTTATATATAATTTATCTATTTTTAGTAATAATTTGTGCACATTTTATGTTGTGTAACATGTGCACACAAAAAATTAATGTGCACATGTGCACATTGTGCACATAGATTTTACACACTGATAGGAGGCATGGGAGGCTGTTAGTAGAAAAGGGAAAAATCCAAAATTTTTGTTAATTTTTATTATTAAGCCAAATTTGTGCATATAATCGAGATTAACCAAGTGGCCTAAGTATATAAATTTTGACCAAAATTTAGATTTCACCTTTTTTACTGACTGCTTTCCATATATATAAAATAAACAAAAAGAAAACTATTTATTTTTATTTTTTGACAAAATTTCTTATATTTCTTATGTAAATATTTATTAAAAATATTGTTCATTTATTAAAATATATATTTTATTATAAGTAATTGTAATTTCAGATTTTATAAATTGATTAATTAGAATTTGTTTGATTATATAATAAAAAAATAAACAAAAATACTTTTTATTTCTTGACAAAAGTTATTCAGTTAGTATGAAAGTCTTTTATATTAATATTAATATTAACAAATACTTACTATATTTTTTTTTCTTACTAATTATTTCTGCTACTCTACTAAATATATATATTTTTTTTCTACTCTTTTTTTCTTTACTAATTTTTTTCTTTTACTTTTTTACTTTCTTTTAACTTTTCTAATTATTAATTCTTTTTTAATTTTTTATTACTTTCTTATTTTTAATTTCTTTATCCTACTAATTATCTTACTTTTACTATTTTTAATTTATTAACTTTTTTTCTTTTTAATTTTATATTCTACTAACTGTTACTTTTCTATTTTACTAATTTTTTTATTTTACTTTCATATGAATTTTTTAAACATCAAATATTTAACATTTATTTTCTTTATTTTCTACCCTTTTTTTTTTTAGAAATATTTTTATTAACATTTAATCAAATTTTTAATTTTATTATTATGATGGTATATACTATTATGATTTTATTTTCATAATATTTTCTTTTTATATTTTAACTTATATTATTTGTAATTTATTTTTAAATTGTTTTAAATAAAGCATAATTTATATATAAATAAATTTAGATATATTAAACTCAGTAAATTTATGAAATATTATATAATTGAAAGTTTTAAATAAATTCGTAGCATAAATTTTTGTAAACTTTTGAAATTCATTTATTATTGTAAGTTTACATAATATTATATTATAATATGCTGTAAACTTTTACATAGTTATATATCTATAATTACTTATGTAGTATTATATCGTAATATTATAGAATATTATGAAAATACAAATTATATAATCTTACAATAGATTTGTAAGTTTTTGTAATATTTCAGAATGTAAATTTATATAATATTATATCCTATTAAATTTACTGATATATGTAAGAATATGAATAAAAATTTCTTATATTGATAATATTAATATATTAATTTAAATATTATTTTGTGAAAATTTTTATTAAAATTTCTTCTTAGAAAAAATAATAGATAATTATATTTGGTTACCAATTTTATCTTATATGATAGAAAGAAGTTTTTTTGCATAAAAATATATTTCTAAATAATAATAAATAAAATTTAAGTAAAGAATTACTTAAAATTTTTACTATAATGTTTTTTAATAATCTTAATAGTAGTTAAATATAATAAACAAATATTTTTGTGTAATTTTCTTATTAATTTTTAACAAAATAAATCAAAATAATTTAATATTAAAATGAATAAAATTTGTAATTTAATATCAGAATTTTTTAGAATTATTATTTTATATAAAAATAGTTTTAAATTTAAACATATAGGAGTAAAATTACATTACAGATTATAAAATTTACTATCTTATAATATGATTTTAAATATTTCCATATCTTACTATGTAATTGTGAAAAGTCAACTTTTTATGTAATATTATAATATAGAACTTTCGTTAAAAATTGTGAATCTCATAATGAAAATTCTATTATCACAATTATTCGTCACGTGCATAATTTTTTAATTCCGTAATGCCGGCAAAATCACGTGGAGATTAATTTTAGTGGTAAATGACATATCACGTGATATTTACTTATGTAAATGATCAATTTACGCAAATCGTAAATATTTAATTTAGTTTTTTTTGGTTTATTTGGTTTTGTCGAATAATGTCGTGGAATCCTCCAGGTGCACCTTCGCAATATAATCAGCCAAGACCAAACATTTATGGAGTAAGTAAAGATTGTAATTCATCGAGGATTCCAACAGAAGGAATTAATTATCGATCTATAAAAAAAATAGATTTCTCAGCCACCACAAAGGCCTGGTTATCAAGCTACTCCGTATGCTTCACGGCCGGCTCAAAACCAGCCTTTCGTACCTGGACAAACCCCTCCCCCTTTTGCACCTCCATCCGTATGGTCCCTCTTTTTAACTCATAGTTTTATACTCGCAAAATTAAACTCACTTTTTATTTATTAGATGTCAATGTGGACAGAACATACTTCACCTGACGGACGTAAATATTATTTCAATACAATTTCTAAGCAAAGCAGTTGGGACAAACCTGAGGAATTGAAAACTGCTGAAGAAGTAACAATTTTGTATTTTAATTCTTTACGCATGTTAAAATCATACTTTAGAATAAATCTAATTTATATTTTTATATTTCAGCGAGCATTAGGGTCCTGTTCTTGGAAAGAATTTACAGCGGAAGGCGGTCGTAAATATTACTATAATTCTATTACAAAAGAGTCTAAATGGGAAATTCCAGCCGAATATAAAGGTAATTTAAATGATATATAGATTGTAAATAAATAATTATAAACATTAACTATATTTTATTTTCATTTATTCTAGATTTTCTCGATAAATTGGAAATAGAAAAGAATCAATCTTTGTACGTGATATAATTTATTGAATTTAATTTGAGATTATATTATTGATACAATTTATATCGTTTCTAGGCACATCGAAACTTCGAATCAATCAAATGGATCAATTGTTTCACCAAATCAACAAGATATGGAACGTGCAAGACAACTAAGTGTTCCTTCTGTTAGTCCTGTTAATGTTACTCCTGTAAATGTACCTATAAAATCTATGGGGGTAGCTGCTCCTGTAGTCGGATCAAATATACCCATGTCAATTCAGCAACCTGAACCTCAAAAGGTTGAGTTTGACACAAAAGAGGAAGCCGAAGCAGCTTTTCGAGAATTGCTTAAAGAATCTGTAAGATGATTAGGAATTTAGTTATTGGTTGAGTTTTATTATATTACTTACTTTTTTTCCTTTTCAGGGTGTTAAAGCAGATTGGACTTGGGAACAAACTATGCGAGCAATAATAGCGAATCCTATGTACCGGGCACTTAAAACATTAGCAGAACGGAAACAAGCTTTTCATGATTATTCAGATGATCTTCGTAAGAAAGAAGAAGTAAGTAATAGTGTTAAACAAGTTACATATCGAATATATTTCACTTATGTATCATTACATTTTACAGGAAGAAAAAAGAGCGAAAGCAATTAAGATTCGTCAAGATTTTGTTTCTCTACTTGAATCGCATCCGGAAATCAACTCTTCAACTCGTTATCGGTATGGGATCTTTAATTATATTATTTACAGTTCCAGGAACTTTAGCCAGATAACATGATAATTCTATTTGTTTATCACAAACAATAATAATAATTAATGTTGGATTTATAGAAAAGTTTGTGATATTTTGAGTGAAGAGCCGGCTCTTAAAGCTATAGAGGATGAGAGATTGCGCGAAGAAATTTTTAGTGAGTACGTGTATGACCTTCGTAAACAAGAAAAGGTGAATACTATGATTAATTTTATAGTATTATAAAAACAATTCATTTTAAGTTAATTAATATATTATTTAGGAAATACAAAGAGCTATCCGTAAAGAGAATATGGAGAAATTCAATCAACTCTTAAGATCGCTTCCAAATATTACGGAAGCCACACGGTGGGCGGATGCTCAACAGATATATATGAATACTCCAGAATACCAACAGGATAAAACTCTTCGAGAAATGGACATGTTAGATTTTTTAGCCGTGTATGAGGAGCACATCAAATCGTTAGAACGTGAAACCGCTGAAAAGAAAAAACGAGACCTTGAAGAGCAAACTAGGCAACAACGAAGAAATAGGGATGCGTATAGGGCTTTGATGGATGAATTACGGGAGAAACATGTGATATCCGCTAAATCAAAATGGAAAGAAACATATCCATTAATTCACACAGATGGGCGGTATCAGAATATGCTTGGACAGCCCGGGTCAAATCCTCTTGAATTGTTTTGGGACGTAGTCGAGGAACTTGACGAGCTTTTATATCAACAACGTAAAATTGTTGTCGAAATTATGAAGGTAAACTCGCAAATCGTAGTCTTTTGATTTTGAGTATTTTAGTTTATATTTATAAATTCAACTTTTTGCATTAATTAAGGCAAAGGAAATCACTATAAACACCGGAATGACTTTCGAACTATTTCAAGCCGCATGTTGTTCTGATGAACGTGTTTCCTCAGTTGACGAAAATAATCTAAAGATAATTTTTGAACAGGTGCTTTTTCTTTAATATTTATTGATTTTAGGAAAGCTATTGTTAATCATATCTTTGTATCAATAACTAAAGCTGCAACGAAAACAAGAAAGAAGGCAACGTAGAAAGTTAGATGCGTTTAAAGCAATTCTCAGGCATTTTGAGGCAATGATTTCTCCGGACACTACTTGGGAGCAGGTGCGACTTGATTTTTTCCACGACAATGTTTCGAAATATGCATTTCTTTTTTTTTTAGTTTAAATTCAATACTATTTAATCATTAAGACTTGTTTTTAATGACGGTTTTGATCGAGTATCATATTTCATATTATTATTTTTTTTTGCCGTTGGCTTTTTACGACTTGTTCTTTTATTGTATATTTATTAGGTACGACCAATTCTCGAGAAAACTGAAGAATTTCAAGCAATAGAATCCGAGGAACAACGTTTGGAAGTCTTTAATAAATTTATTGACAGAGTTAGAGTAATTATCTTTTTAAATATAATTTGAAATTGACTTTTATCTACCTTTTTTATAATTATATTAATATATTGTTTTCTTACAAGGAAAAAATTCTCAAAAAGGGGGATGATAGTGAAGAAGAGGAAGGAACACTTAGAGATGATGATATCGAAGAAGATCGACACGTAACTAGCGATCGTAAAAAAAAGCACAAGAGTAGTCATCGATCCTCTCATCACCGAAGATCTCATCATTATTCTGATTATTCAGCTGAAAGTGGAGATTGTTCGGATAAAGAAAAGGAAAGTGGTGATAAACGTAAACGTCGAAAGGTAGTTTGATTTTTCATTTTATAATTTAAATGAACATTTATAAGATATTATACAAATCTTAACATAATATTATATGTGATTTACCAGAAGACTAAGACAGAAGCAAGATATGCAGAATCTAGGTACCAAGAATATAATAGATATAATGAACAAAAGCATAGTGATTATATATCTCGTTCTTCAAGGTCCCCTAGAGCTCATGATTATAAAAATCATTCACCTAAGCAAGAAACCTTTTATAAAAATATGTCACCTAAACCAGAAGTGCTATTAAAATCTCAATCACCCAAAAATGATGAAACCCAAATAGAAGTCATCAAACATGATGATTCAAGCGCGGAAGAAGGCGAGTATGTAGAATAATAATAAATAATTCAGATTTAATTCATATTTACTTCACTATTATCAGTGTTATATTTTAGTTGTAAGCAAATTCATGAAGGATGAAGCTTTGGCATTGGATTAAAATGATAGTAAGGTGAGGTTTAGAATAAATATGAATTATTATTTATTATGTAATTTGATAAATAAAATATATAAGAAGTTCTATTGAGCAAATTATACAGCGATCAAATTACCGATCATGGAATACAATGTTGTGATATATATATATATATATATACTTTATAAAGGTAAGTGTTACTTCAATACCAGCAACTTTTTTTAGGGTAAGTTTATATTTTATAAATATCGAACATCTTAATGGATATTTATATAAATAAAGTTTTTTTTTTTATGGTTTATCGTAAGATTCCGCAGTAAACTTTGAGAAAATGAACTAATAAATTATGGAAAAGTTGCTAAAAAATCTTTAATAGTTTTTAAAATAAATTAGAGATTTGAATTAGTTGTTTCATTCTCGTGATTAATAAATACATCTTTTTTTAAATGCATATTTTCTCTCAGAATGACGATCCCAACTTAATTTTGGCAAATGATGCGGATGTTTCCAAAGGAAGTAATTTTAGTTTAATGTAAGATTATCATTGCGTTCACTTCATGGAATTACGAAACTTCCGTAATATTCCCATCGTACTAGGTCCGAAAAGTAAAAAAATTTTTAAGTTGCTCAGAAATATTTGATATTTTGACAAATTTCTTCCCAGGTCATGCATCTACAACCTGATGTCATCGAGCGCACTTTTATTTCCTTTTTTTTTTTAAAAAAAAAACTGGTTACTATGAGTTTCCTTGTTTGAGTAAATCATTAGAATCTCTTTAAATGGTGAACTTTTCACGTGATACGAGTGTTTATCAAGTAAATCAAATTGACAAATCCTTCTTCAATTAGACCATTTCATTATCTGCAATGCACAAATAATTCAAGTATGTATACGTATGAGCTCATGCTAATGCCTTTTAATCTAGTCTTATACATTGAACTTACATATAATAGTAAAAAGAATTTTTAATGGAAAATTTCTCCCTTTTTAATTCAACCATAAAAATTATATAAAGTGGGTTATCAACAAATTGATCGTTTTTAATTTAAATAGTAGTAAATCTTTTCCGGTTTCATTATCGTGAGTAAAAGAAAACCAAGGGTTAAAACTGCGCGAAAATAAAAGGTTTTGAAAAATCACGTGCGATAATTAATTATATACAACAAAATTATATAGTAAATTCTTATCATCATCCGTAATCGGCCGACGAATAAAATTGATCTACAAATGGTCCTGAGTCGACATTATAAACACGACCTTCCCCGCGTGCTAACTAAATTTAGTTAAATATCAAAAAGAGATGGTCCGTTCACTCAATGTGGTTACATCATGAATCAATCTTTTTATGATTTCTATCGATCCATATCATTAAAAAGGAGGATGAATGAAATGATGGTTTGATTGTCCATGTGATTCAAATCCCAATTATCCCAAAGGTAAGGGGCTAAAATGTGAGATTTTTTAAGTTACTGCGATTTACCTGTTACGGGGGTTTTTTTTGACTTCTTTAATTATGCAAAGTAATCACCAATCAATAAGGGATGTAAGGTCCCTGAATAATGATGAATAATTACATGTAAATGAATTATTATCAATATGGAGTTTTTTTTTTTTTTTTTTCACAGATGTTGTGTGAGAAAGAATGAGAGAGAAATGGGGCAATTTGAACAAATTCGGAATAAAGTGTGAGAAAAATCCAGGTAAGTAATATGATGTGGCTATGATGTTATGTAATCTCTCTAGACATTCCATCGTCTCAATTATTGTGCGATAATCATGTAGCAAAATTACTGATTATTAAATGCGTTCGTTGAATATTACATGCGAAATTCTCTTACTTATTTTACGTTAACAACGATGATTATTATTTTTTAATAAAAAATTCAATTCTACAAGTAATGTTGTGTAAGGTTGACCCATGTTTATCGGAACCTTTTTTTTATAAAAAAAAAATATCAAGAATTCAAAATTAAGCAATACATTTTTACTCGGAGATATTGTTCGAATTAAAAACATTGTAACTAAAATAGGAAATATGGAATAATAAGAAAGTGTGGGGTAAAAAAAAAGTTTTTTTTTTGTTTACTTTAATTATACATATAAATGGTAAGTGGTAATTTGTGGGGTGGGAAAGTTTTATTTCCTAAATTATATTAGATCGCATTGTTACATAGTTGCACGACATTTTGTAGATCTTTTGACGTTTTCTTTGCGCAGTCAAACGGAAAGGTAGTATCTTTTTTTTTTCCATAAGGAACAAGCAAGTATTTATCGTAAGACTTGGATATAAATAAATAGATTTTTACCATTTAAATCGTGACTTTGTACGTGAGAGCAAAAAGGGTGAGAAATTAATAGTTCATCAAACAATCAAGCAAGCAAATTAATTCAATTTCGTGTCCTTTGAGGAAAAAAAAAAAAAACTCACTCACGAGAACAATAACAATAATAATAATTAATGACTCGGTTCACACTCGGATTCCAGGTTAAAATAACAAATTTTGAATTTTTGACTCAGCACCGACCTAGCCCTTTCTTTAGCAGGTAAGTCTTTTAAAAAGCTAAAGAGGTCATGCATCGCCGAAAAAAAAAAATTCTCCCAATCGTTCAAGATGCACAAATACCCCACACTTTTGTTCGTTACATTATGCCCCAAAAAATTCTCACTTTTTTTTTTTTAAAAAACCTTAAAAAAAAAAAAAAAAAGTCAATTGAGATTTTTAAATTAAATTCCAAGAAAAGAGACAATCGGTACCACAAACCATCGATAATCTTCCCATTAATTTGCTCTTAAATTGACTTGTATGTCATGTCGTGTTACCATTCTATTGATGTACCCATTGTGTTTCATTTACAATAGTAATAAAGAATAAACCCTTTTTTAAACCGTTTTCTGATTATTACTTCCATAAAGAAGTTCTATTATGTTATTTTTTGATGTTTGAATTCACAAACGCCAAAAATGAATATATATAAAGAACAAACAATATTATGCGGTCAAGTGATTAGATCAAATGTTCAATATTCTTACGTCATCGATTCCCCATTTTAACCATAATTCGCTTAAAGTTTAAAAAAAATAATAGGAAAGGGTTTTATTTATTTTCCTTCCCTCTAGTACATTTTTAAAGAAATGTGCAACGAACTTTAAAAAAAAAAAATATTTGATCATCAAATGCATGATTACGTAAGATCACAGGTTGTGAATACATCACTACGTATATAATTTTTTTAATCCAGACATCTTATCTTGTTTAACGAATACTAATATATCATTTCCCGATGACCAAGTTTATTAAATTAAAGCGTTTACATACGACATCGACCCTAATAAGTCAATTCGACAATCATGCTGATTTCGATGCAATGCAATAAAGGTGCTATATATACACCAATACATGCATTACATTAATTAATCTATAAATAGCTCCACGTGTAAACAAATCTCTTGAGAACATGTGAAACATTATTACGTGTATAAACGACGAAATATCACTTCGGAATGACGAATATCGCACTACGCATTTACGATATCTACGTTGCGACACATCAAACAAAAGATTTGATAATGACGCAATTTACACAATACTATACTAAAAGTGGAAATTTTATTATTCGACTCTTGCTCTCTCATTCCGAATGCATGAATTGGGGAGAGAGGTTCTTGGAATCATGAAGAAATTTTTGATTCATTATTTCGATTCCAAATTTAGTAACTAATTCTCTGTTTATAAGCAATTCGGAACAAATAACATTATTAGTAATTAAATACTTAAAATTATCACACCACTTTTTTATCATATGCAATAAAGTAAATTTTAAACGTTTTTAAGTTGATGCCTTTATTATTTTTGCATGTCTTGTCTAAACGTAGTTAATGTCTTCTTTTAAGAATTATATGCTTTTATGATTAAATATATCTAGCTAAAAAATTTTTATTAAATGTATTATATTTGGTAAACAATGTCTCTTTTATTTACTTATTTATATATATTTAAGCCGACAAAAATAACGCGTATATGAGATGATTTCTCAAAAAAAAAATGATAGGTCGAAAAATGAAGAACGCGTTTTCAATTTAATAATCACAGAAATGAGGATTACTTTTTTAACATCTTTTTATTTAAATTTTGATTTTGATTTTTTTTTTTTTTTTTTTGTTGTTATGAAGTAAGTATTTACACTACATAACAATCGTAGAGTGAGGAGAATTTTGTTCTTAACTATAAAAGCAATAAAATTAATCTAAAACTTAAAAACTAAATTTTTTTTTTTTTCGAATATATATATATACAAGAATAGGGAGTTGTTTTGTTTAATTTTATTTTTCCTTTTTGAATTGTTTCTTTAATGATAAAGCAAAAAAAAAAAAGTCATAATGTGAATGTCTAAATGTTTAAGAATAAAAAAAATTTTTTTAATAAAAATCATGGAGTATTATTTTTTTAAAAAAGGGGAATTTTTTTGTTTAATTAAATCTTTTTGTAAAATTTTTTCATTGTTCATGTTTGTTTTTGTCATGATATTAAATGAATCACAAAATAATTAATAAAGGAATAAAGGAATATATTTTTTTTTTTTTTTTTTAAAAAAAATCTTAAGAATAGGGAAGAATGCTTTTAAAAGGTAAATCTTAAAAAAAAAAAAAGAATAAAAAAAAGGAATTGTCGGTTCGTCTTTTGTTAAACTTTGTTGAATGAACCGAAGAGAGATTGAGAGGATACCATATTTATCCTCTAATTTTATATTATTTCATTCCAATTTTTTTTTTTCGAATCCCTTCTGGTATCCTCTCATTCTCTAGAAAACAAATATTAAAAGTTGAAAACCATGTTAATTATATCACGAACTCCACTGGCAATGTTAACGGCCCTATCAACAATGCCATTATCACTTTCATCTTGAGGAGGCTGATTTTGATTTTGCAACCTGTTAGGAGGGGGCGTTGGTATTATCCCTCCAGTATGATAATGTGTGTGCGAAGGTATAGAATGTTCTAAACCGAAATCCAAAATCTCATCTA